CATTTTTTCTTGCTTAAAATTACCATAAAAGGAAAATTTTTAACAAAACGGACGCGATCAGGAGAGAGTTTTTTTTAATTTTTAAATAGTTTGTTTATTTTTTTAATAAAAAATATAATTAATTATAAACAAAAATTTAAAATTAATATAAAATAAATAAAATTTTTCAGAAAGATTATAAAAAAAAAAAATACTTAAAAATAAATAAATAAAAAACTAAAGAAATAATAAAGAGATTAAAAATTATTTTATTTTATTTTTTAATTCTTGAATTTTTGAAAATCTTTAATATATTTTTTTTTATTAGTTTTTTTTATAGAAAAGTGTTTTTGTTATAAATCTTTTAAATAGATTTTATTGTATTTGGGTATAAAAATAAACAAGAAAAGTATTTTAAAAAAGAAAAAGAGAACAAGTAATAGTTGCTATTTGCTTTACTAATTAAAAAATTTATGTTGTTAAAGAAAGTATATAGATTTTATTATTATAAAAACATAAAATTTTTTAAGAACATCTGTTTTTTGAATTGATAAAAAATAAAAGAAAGAATTTTATAAACAGTATAAGGGATTAGAGGCTTCTTTAATATTTAATTGATATAATCCTGCAAGGTTTAAGACATGAAAAGGATTTGATCTGAATTTTTTATTTAATTTTTAATAAAAATTTTAATATTTATATTTGAAATTACTATTTAAAACTTTTTATATTTTCGTTGTAAAAATTTAATTTTATTAAACCAATTTTAGACTTTATATATATATGTCGGATTTAAAAAAATTATTTTGGAATTTCAGCTATTTTAGTTATTCATAGAATTATCAGGATAACAAAAATCACTAGGCAGAATATGCAATCCCGGAGTCACGTGATCAGAATCGATTCACAATATTTATCAATAATCAAAACTTATTTATAACCTTAAATATAACTTGATGAAAATATACTAGACTATTGGTTAATAAAAAAAAAAAGAAATTATAGATAATACAAAAAATAGAGATACAGTATATACATTTAGTATTTCAAAAAATCGATCGATCGATCAATAAATATTTAAAATTTAAAAATATCATAATTTATAAAATAGAATTTCTTTTTATTGGATCCTTAGTAACTTTTAATTAAAGACATTTAAACAATATTATTTCAAAATTTTTTTAAGTTAATGATATTATGTCGTGTTGAACTCTTATAAATAATTATGTGTTAGCAACATTCAAGTTACAATTATAGAAATGACAACAGATGCTTTATCACAGTATACAGTACAATATTTCGATTTAGTGATATGGTAATTAATAATTTTATAATAAAATAAAACAGTACTGTATAAAGAGTATGTCTTTCCATGCACGTGATCCGTCAGTTCACATAATAAAAATTCAAATATAGTAATACAATTTTACTATTACAGTATTTATAAAGTAGAAATAAGTCACGTTTTCGTATGTTTGAGCAAGATAATGATACTGTACTCAGTGAACTTGCCGAGAACCTATTATCAATCGTTACTATCTTCACGGCATCAGATAAGTTGAAAACCGTAAATGACAAAGAGAAAGTAAAAACAAGAAGGATAAGGATTTACCAAGGTTCTTACGGTGGTGTAGAAAGATGGGATCACCGATATGAGCATTATACAAAAGCACTACCCGAATGATAAGTGCTTCACAACTGAAGAACTCTTTTGGTAAAAGAGGCCCCTAAGGAAGTAAGTTCATACGCAATTCGACAATTGATGGCCGCATACAAAACAAACAAGAAGTTGCATGGAAATAATTTTCGAATGAAGTAACGATCAAAGAAGGATCGAATACAAACCATCTTTATTCTTGCCAGGGATTGGAATAGGAACATAGGGAAATACATGCATTCCTAAAATATTATCGCTTCAGAGCGGTCACCAGATATCTTACGGTATAAATAACTATGAATCGTTTGGGGCACTTTTACTCGTGTGTTTCTGTTTCTTTGGATATCATCGATAACCAAGATGATGTTCGGGGAAAAATCTCGCTCGATCCAGGTGTTCGAATGTTCATTAGGGTAACAGTGATTTTAAGAAATAGGACAAATTACAGAGCGATGAAGATTTTACTTTGGAAAAAACAAGATATTCCGATTGAGAAAAAAGATGCTACGAATCATACAACAAATTTGTAATTTAATTTATGAAAGATTCAGCTCGTGCGATACTAAATTGGTCGCATTTCAGGTTTCAGATATTCTTAAATTATAAGTCGAAGGTGTTCAGAGGTTATAAGGTCATTGAATGCACCGAAGAGTATACATCAAAGACGTGTGGGGATTGTGTACTCGTAAAAAATGATATTGGTGGATCAAAAACGTATAAATGTGATTTGTATAACGTGGAGACATGAATGGTCTTGCTCAAATATTTAACGGAGAGTCAGGTTTTAGCCATATGAAATACGATATGCATAGTAAAGACTAACTTTATTTATTTATTCATATTGGGATTCAATTCTGTATGATAGTTAGTTTTTGAGAAAATTTTGATATAAAATATTTGCATTGTCCTTAAGTCTTTTTTTTTTTGACCTTGTCTCCCTCAGAATGCTATTTCACCACTGGAAAACGTATATGGTATCTCTTTTTAATTCCACTTGTTAAATCAGATCCAATGTTTCTTTATATTGATCGTTTCACGACCACAATGTTATTTGTTGTTTAAATAGTAGATTTGGCAATAACAATTAAAATAATCAAATCTAAAATCAGGATGGAAAAATATTTCCAGTTTAAACAAAAGTCCAGTCATAAGCATATTAAAGCTACATCAAGTAAAGTATGCTAGAACAGATTCAAATATGCCGCTTGGTATATCTACGAAACTTATTATTGTTTTTTTTAGAACGACAAATCTCTTTTGACACAAATTCCGTAAGGGCGAATGTCGGTGCTCCTTCGTGACACATAGTATTTTCCGTTACCAGTCTTCGAATTTCGAACCTCCCTGACAAATTTTGGATTAACACGATTTTGCAGGATAGCGCGATATTTTATGCCATTAACCGTGAAAGATGTAGCGTATTCCCATGCGACATCAATGTTTGGACTTGAATAAATCCCATTTTGATTAAATGCGTCACGAACGCACTTGCTACAGTTGAATCCTTCTTTAACGATAGAACGAATATTCTCAACAGTTGTTCCGTGGTAAGAGACCTAAGTGAATAAAAAAGAATCCGGTACGCCAAGTTAATCCTGGTGGCCTAATTTTTGAGGTCATAATTTATGATATCAGGTTTATATATATATCCCTACCAGCCATTCTTCGTCTATACTCTTGGTACCACGTCTTTCACTGTGATTTCCAAGCCAAGCATTTCCATCCGGATATTTGTCCTCGATGTTAAGTGCGAATCGCATAAACCCGTGAGGTCGTTTATATATCTTATGTCCTCGAGTGTGTTGCGCTCCTTCATCATATTCATTTGTGAAATCGTAATCATATTGCGGTGAAAATAAAAAAGACGGTAGGGCTAAATATAATTTAACCACCTCCCATTCCGTATGAGTTACGCCTCTAAGTAGAGGACCATTATCGCATATAAAAGAATTTCCATGTTTTATTGTTGTTGTCCGAGAAGTTAAACCTATGTTTGTTGGAGCGTAATATGAATATGCTGTATTTGTTATAATTAAATTTGAGATATTTAAGTTCGTGTTGGAGGTACTAGGACTATAGACAAGAGGACGGGATGATGTAGTTTTGTTTGTGTGGAGGCCGCCAGAATTGACGAAAGAGGACGACGAAGGAGTTTTACCAACAACATTTACTGGTCGACGACCCTTGGTGCCTTGACTAGATGAAACTGAGGGGGCGGTTTTAATTGAGGTTGATGAAATTGTTTTGTTTGTGCGGAGGCCGCCAGAATTGACTGAAGAGGACGAAGAAGGGGTTAAGCTTATAAAAGTCCTAGCTGATGAGCGTCCCCCGGTGCCTTGACTGAGTGAAACTGAAGAGACATTTTTGGTTGAAGTTGATGAAACTGTTTTGTTTGTGCGGAGGACAGTCCTAACTGATGGGCGTCCCCCGGTGCCTTGACTGAGTGAAACTGAGGGGGCATTTTTAGTTGAAGTTGAAGTTGATGAAATTGTTTTGTTTGTACTGAGGCTGCCAGCATTGACGGTGGAAGACGGGGTTAAGCTTGTAGCAGTCTTAACTGATCGGGCAGTTTTAGTTGAAGTTGATGAAATTGCTTTGCTTGTGCGGAGGCTGCCAGTACTGACAGTGGAAGACGAAGATGGAGTTAAGCTTATAGCTGCATTAACTGATCGGTTTCCCCTAGTCCTCTGACTGAGTGAAACTGAAGGGGTAGTTTTGGTTGAAGTTGATGAAATTGTTTTGTTTGTGCGGAGGCTGCCAGCATTAACGGTGGAGGACGAAGATGAGGTTAAGCTTATAGCAGCATTAACTGATCGGTTTCTCCTAGTCCCCTGACTGAGTGAAACCGAAGAGGTGGTTTTAGTTGAAGTTGACGAAATTGTTTTGTTTGTGCTGAGGCCGCCAGAATTAACGGTAGAGGACGAAGGCGGAATTAGGCTTATAACAGTCTTAGTTGGTAGGCGCCCCCCGGTGCCTTGATAGAGTGAAACTGAAGTAGTAGGTTTGCTTGCCTGAAGGGTGCTGGAATTATGTGTAGACGAAAGCGAAATAACACTGGGTGAAGAAGTCAAATAGAAACTTCGATTGTTATTTGCCGAAGTTGAATTGACAGTACTAAATGAATTTCGGGAGGAACTTTGCCATTTATTTGTTGAAGCTAAACCAGGAGTGCTAGGTGAAACTCGAGAGGAACCTTGATTTCTATTTGTTGATGACGAAGTCGAATTTGTGGGATTGGTAGGGCTACTAAAACAAATGCCACCACCACGAAGTCGCGAATTTACATGTAAGGTAGAATCTTGCTGAATGTCATAATCTTCTAGGGTCAACTCATCGCACAATTGTTTCCCAACGTATAACAATCGTAGATAACAAGAAGGTATTTGGTCAATTTTTTGAATCCGATATTTTATGTCCGCAACCGTTTCATCAGTTGACACTTGTATTACTCGCGTCTTTCCGCTTAATGTTCGAACAAATATTTGAATCATACTGTATTGCTTTGTGTTTCAGAATTGGGAAGATGTTAAGGAAACTTTATTTATGGATGGGCGTCTGATTCTCTGATGCTCAAGGAAAAGTCAACACATTTATAGTTTGAACGTACAATATACTCCGATATGTGTAACGATTTAACAAAATTGCCAACAATAACTTCCAGCGCAGCAGGTTTTTCTGAGGCGAAATCTGACAAATACGGTGCTTTATTTCCTGAATTGGCGTTAATTCACAATTCAATGCTTTGTCTGTCCTGAAAAATTACGTTATACTGTATACAGTACAAAAAACAAACTTTGTTTTAAACAATTTCCATTTTTCTGTACTGCATACAGTACAGTACAGTAAAAACCAAATTAAAAAAAATCTCCAATTCAGCTTAAAATTTATTCATCAAAAAGAAGTATAATGGCAAGTTTTCAGTATGCTATATTGAACTTTTCTATATACAGTATATATAGTATGCGGTATACAATGGACAGTCTACTGAATTTGGTTATTTATTCACAGTTTCGCGGTTCAAGTTTAGACCATACGGTAGCCTTTAATTATCTTATACAGGTTATTTAATAAGCTTATACACTAATACGGAGTGAAACGTGAAAATACATGAAACTGTAAAGTTTTGTCGTCATAGTATATTTGACTCAACCAACTCCATAATCCTCAAGAGTAATTTATTTATTTTTACATTGAAAAAATTTTTTCTTCGAAATAATTTGATTGTTAATTAAATAGATCTTTTTTGTCAAATAATTAATTTATTTATATTGTTCAAGCAAAATTAAAATAAAATATTAAATTATATCACAAATACTTACATAAATGTATATATAAAATTTATGATTAATTATACACTATATAGTATATAGTATATATTTGTATTTAAAAAAATCAATTGTGTATTTTATTTTTATAATAAACTATATAAAATAATATCCATTTGCAGCATATAGCTTAATTTTGATAATTAAAGTATGTTGCAAAAAAAAATAAAATCAAATAACAAAAAAATTTTGTATAATTGAAATTTCTACAATTATTAAATAAGTACATGTTGATTTAAAAAATTTAAACATTTATATTTTAAAAGATAAAAGTTGAATTAAAAAGTTGAATTAAAAAATTTATTACATATATGAATATTCATATTTTCTTAAAAAAATTATTTTATTTATTAATTTATTCTTTTATGTTACTTTTTAAAATCTTTTATTCAAAATATAAAAACTATTTATTTATATTTAAATTTATTATTGATTTTTTTTAATAATCTTTGCCAAGTTACAAATAAAAAATATGATTGCTACTTTTTTTGCAACACATTGTATATTATATAATTTTATCAATAAAAGCTTTAACTATATAATGTTCTTAATAATAACTTCCACTTATGGTATGTTTTAATTTTATAAAAAATATATATTCAATATCAAATTAATAAAATACTGTGTACAAGTATATAATAGTATAATAATGTTTTATTTGAAAAATATAAAATAAAAATTCATATATGTATACTATACTGTATATGTTGTATAAATCTATTTGCTTGAATTTTTTATAATGTTATTTAAATTTTTATTTGAAAAATGTTATATGATCAAAAATTATATCGTCAATTTTAATTTGTGACAATATATTTTAATTATATTTTAAAACAAATCAATAATCAAATTTTTATAAAATTTTATAAAATGTGTTTTATTTGCTAGGGGTTAAAAAAGTTCAAACAAAAATAAAATAAATCTAAATATATACAGTATACAGTATTGATTTTTGTGTATAGCAAAAGTATTTTATAATAATGTGTTGATATGAATTTAAATCAAAATGTGAAAATTGTTTAAATATTCATTTAATTGCATGAGATGAAAACATGACGATTTAAATATCCAAACCCATATTTCTCATCTCTTCAATTGCCTTTGCGAATTTATTCCTTGCAGCAATACTTAAATATTTTATTCCCAACTCACTGTCTTTCTCAACAAACTCGCTGCTATCAATACTCTTGCTTCGATGAAAATACAGCATCGCCATTTGAAAAGCAGCTGCAGCATTGCCGTTATTAGCTGCCCTTTGCAAGTATTCAACAAATTCTTTTTTTCCTGCAGGATCCATTGTTTTTTTAAAGATTGCAAATGCGTAACGCAATTGCCCGTCGACGATTCCCTCATCAGCAGATTCTTTAAATAACATCTGTGCTTTAACCATATCTTTCTCGACACAATACCCTTGCCATAAATAATAGCCTTTCCAATACTTGGCCTTGGGATTTCCAAGATCAGCGTGCTTGGAGAAACATTCCCAAGCCTTCTTCCTGGATTCATCATCTCTCTTCATATGAAGTTCTATTCCCTCGTCAAGCGTAATTGGGGCATCTATTTCATTAGTGAGATCTTCGAATTCGGTCATGCAATCGAAGTCATCGTCGTCTTCATCATAAACCAAGGATTTGTCAGGCAATAGGCCACAGAGACTTTCAGGCTTCGCATATTTTGCACACAGGGTTTCCAAACTCAAAAATAGCAATGGAAGTGATATTCTTTCGTTCGGATCTTGTGCCCATGCTATGGATTGGATAAAAAGGAAAATACCCAAATACCGTATTACACAAATGACAAATAAAATCGGTTGGTTGAAATCTGCTGCAATTAAAGAAGCCACCTTACCCTGCTTAATAATCTTCGCGAATTCTTTCTGAATTTCAATTACATCATCACCCTTCCTATAATTGAATTTCAAAACTTCTCTGCCGCCATTTAGAATATGTTTACCAACATATTCTGTCGTTTTCCCTTTGTAAGGCACCTTTTCAAAACAGAGTTCCCAGAGAAGCATTCCAAAACTATTTTTATTAAGAACAAATAAATAATGATTGATACAGTAATTGTCAAAAAAGTAATTTATATAACAAGTTGAATCAAATACCTAAATATTTCACATTTGTGATTGTAAGGATTATCTCTGTTCAATTTTTCAGGAGCCATCCAAAAGAGACAGGACATGAACTTATCGGTAATATCCACTGAATGAGCGTTTACCTCTCGAGAAAGCTCAAAGTTGAATAGTTTTGATTCCAAGTTTCTTGTTATCTAAATAAGCAATTTAATTAAAATTAGGTTGTGATTTTTTCTGGAATAAAGAGCTAGTAAAAAGAATTACCATGACATTTTGACATCTAATATCATGATGAAAAACGCCGACTTCGTGCAGAAAAGCAATACCACGACAAATGTCAAGAGCCATCTGTACTTTCCTAGGCCACGGGATATCATGTTTTTCATAAACTTCTTTTAAGTTTCCCAATTCCGCCCATTCAAAGATCATGACTTCGTGATTATCAACAATCGAGAGGCCGTAAAAACGTAGAATATTTGGCGAATCGCTGACCTTTTCTAGTATGGCCAAGTTGACATTAGATTTTCCGGACTTCTGGAGAACAATGGGTTTGCACGCTACATCAAATGTTCTCCGTAATAATTTTTTAATAACTGAACCGCGTCGATCGTCACTCTTTCCAATTAAAGGATCCGATAATTGCTTAGAGTCAATCTCTTTTAATTTTACATTCGTTTGAGATTTAATTGATAGAATTTCTTGATGTAATAAAGCCATGTCTTTATAATGCGCGTCGTTGATTTTGCGTAGATACTGAAAAGAATTTCATATTGAACTTTATTCAAAAAAAAGACAAACCCTTTTCTTTCTTGTCACTTACCTCCATAATGTAATTGACATCCTCTTTTAAACTTCTTTGGTCAATTATTCTTTGTTCTTCACTTTCAACCGCCAGAGTAAAGTGCAAATCCTTCATACATTCTTCAAATTCTGATGTCAGAAGCTTAAACCTTTCTTGAACAGAATTCGCCTCTACATACTTTCTGACTCCGCTAATTTGCGATACGTCTATAGCAAAATCTCGAATTTTTTCCATGACAACTGCAAATTTTTCAAAGGCAATATAAAATCCTTGTTTACGAAAATTCTCTTCATTTTCCTTCTTTCTTCTTAACAGTCCACTGATAGCCAATTCGGCCATCAGCGCTCGATCGACTAATGTGTTGCAAACTTTTTTATAACATTGAGCATTCTCGTAAATTTGAACGATTTGCTCGATTAAGGTGCATATTGTGCTGATTGCTGGCAAGAACGGAGAAACAGCGTCTCCAACAGTGCTGACTACGGATAAAGTTTTTTTGGTGATGGTAAGGCCATGAATGAAACGAGCACTTTTTCTTTCTTTTTGTGCAATAAAATTCGACGTCGATTTCCTAGAGTCTTTTGACATCGTAAAAACAGTCCACGAGCAAAAGTCTTTTTTTTTTTTTTACCAGAGTGTCATCACCTCGCCTTTTAATCGGAAATTTTTCTCTTGGCGTACATTGGATAAAGACCTAATCATTGGTTCACTAAACATAAAAAAATCTTGTTTTGTACCTTTAATTATTTTTATCTCAAAAATTCATTGTATAAAACGTGTAATTCTTTGTAAATTGCATATGTACCATAATTCGGTTACAACATTCTTGCTATGGTATGGTCAGACAACGCATCGATCAGCTAATTAATCGCTATAAATGTACATAATGGCATTCTTGTACGGGTGCTCTTTCTTCGAAAATAGTCCTTGTTATCATAAAAGCTTAAATTTATTAATTAATGTCATAACAATAATAATTTACTAAATACAGTTTCATTGCGATTGGTGTGTAGAGTTTCTTAAAGAATCCTTTTTCTTTAAGAATTGTTTTATTTACTACTATAAAGAAGTAAATCGTTAACAGTCCTTGAGAATCCATGTGCAATCAATCAATTTCAAAGTAGACCACAGTTCAAAAATAAAAAGAACATGCAATTTCATCAATTCACTTTCTATACAATCAGAATATGATCTCATGCATTGGATTCAATATTGCTATTACAAATTGACTTTATTAATATATTATTGTAATGAGATAAGGTGGGTTCCAATTATACCTATCGGTCTTTCGCACGTGTTAATCTAATCTCCTTTCGACCATCCCTTCTATGATTACGAGTCTCTCTACACGGAACAGAGGTAACATCGGTTTCTCACTTGGAGTCTTTTTTTACTTTATTATAGTAATGTTAGTCTTAAATTATTGACGGTCTATGATTTATGGGACGCAAGTTTATTGTGCCAAGTGAAATAACATTTATTCAATAAGCATGACCAGACTATGAAAAGCTATCCTATTTATATGCTTATTCGGGCTACATGCTATGACTAATTATTACCATTTTGCGGTTATTGTTACGCGAAGCTTCACCAAGTCGCGTACTTGATCTATGTAATTAATATGTGATGGATAAATTATATATTGAAAAAGGATTAGTAAATGTCGATTTACACTATATTAAACTGATTTGTTTTTTTAACTCTTAACATTTACTTTACCTATAAAGTTCTTGTGTTACTTACTATATGCTTGAATTTTATATTTACGTATTTCTATCAATAGCAGACATAACAAATTAACAAAATTTATGTACTAAATTTTAATAATAATTTTATTTGCTTTTTCCAACCTTTTTTTTAAAAAGTAAAAACTCATAATAAAGTCTATAAAATTCCTTGCTTTAAACAGAATTTAAGTATTGAAAAAAATTATAGATAAATTAAAAATTCATATAAAATTAATTTTCAAAAAATACTTGAAATACTGTAAATTATAATCAATTATTCCTTATTGAATTACAGTAAAATTGTAAACAATTTTATTAAAAATGAAAAAATTATATTTAAAAAATATACATATATTAATCAATAATTCAAAAATATCTATATTATCATAAAACCATACCTATTTATTATTTTTAAATATTTTTATTAAGCATTTCACAATATACATACTGTATATTATATTAAAAAATTTAATATAAAGCTGATTTCATATTTAAAATAAATAAATAACAATTATTTATTTTAATTATATTATAAAATTCATATTATACCTAACAATTCAAATATTTCAAAAGATATTTAATATCTAATTAACTATAAAAAAGTTATAAACAAGATATTATTTATTATTATTTAAAAAAAACTTTATTAAATTAAAAAATAATCAAACAGCTTTGTTATTTCATTAAAAAAAAAACTTTATTAAATTAAAAAAGAATTAAACAACTTTATTATTTTATAATAAAAAAAATTAACTTATATATTGTATATATACTGTATATGTTTTTTTAATATAAATAATTAAATAGAAATATAAAATATAATAAAATAAATATGTTATAAAATTATTTAGATAAATTATATTATTGATTAACTATATGTTACATATAATATAAATAATTTATAGTATATATATTATTAAAATTTATAAATTCTTAATATAATTAATACAATTATTTAATACAATTACTTAAATTAATATTAAACCATATAAAAAATTGAATTATAATATAATTATTTTTAAAAATTTTAAAATTAAATCAATAGAAAAATAATTTATATCATATAAATAATATTTAATAATTTTAATTAATATTTTACAAATCTGATAAAAATCAATTGAAAATTAAAAAAAAAAGTAATATATTTTATTTAATTACAAGTATAAAATATAATAAATTAAATTAATAATTGTTACTAAAACATCAAATATATTATTAGATATTTACTAATTAATTTGTATTAAAGTAAAAATTTACTTGAATTAAAAAAAAAATATAAAGTTAATAAATATTAATTGCTTAACTATTAAATATATATATTGTAAAGCTATAACTAAGAATTAATTTCAAATTTTTATTTATAATTATTTAAAATTTAAAAATTTTTTTAAAAAAAAATCAATAAAATATATATAAAAAAATATATTAAGTTTTAATAAAAACTTTAATACTTTATACAAATTTATTTCAAAAACAAAATACATTATAAAATATAAAAATAAATAAAAATATAAAATAAAAATAGTTTTTAACAAAACACAATTATATATAAAAAAACTTATTTTTTAAAATAATATATATTTGGATAAAATTAATTTACAATAATAAAAAATAAATTCAAATTCAAATTATTTTTGAATAAAATATTTATATATAAAGAAAATACTATTGTAAGAATAATAGAAAAACAAAATGTTTCCTAAAACTATAGTACACTGGTAAATATTTGGTACATCTATACTAAGGTTACAGATTCAATTCCTGATGATAATAAAATTCCTGTAGATCTATTCCAGGGATGATCATGGTAAGTGTAAGTTGTCTTACAACCATAAACTATTTATCAAAGTATTATACATCAGAAAATTTTTTAGCAAAGATCTTCAAAGATCTTCAGGCATAGACCTTCAGAGGATCTTCGTTATCGTTAAAAGACTTTGAAGCAAAACTTAATATATTAAACTCCAGAAATCTTTAATTTATTTTAATAATAATAAAATATATTTATTTTATTTTTATTTTTTTTTAATCCCGCAATCAGGTTGGTGTCATTTATTTATTTAATCATAAAGAACCATTACAAGTTGAGAATCCA